TTCCCTACAATGTATTAAGTTGGAAAAGCCCAAAGTTTGTTTTTGGGCTACATTTGGGGTTTTTCTTTTCAAGAAGAAATTATTTAGGAAAAATCGCAGTAAACAGCCTATTTTTAAAATTAAATTAAGTAAATAGAAGATTTTAAAATTATTTAAAATAAATAGTAATTTATTGTGTAAATTTTTTCATTTATGGCTGGTAAAACATAATTTACTTAATAAAAAATTTTATTTATGAAGAAAAAATCTTTTTACCAAGTTTAAAAAGAAAATTTACATGTAAAAGAATTTTTTTAATAATCGTAAATGAAATATTTACACGATAAATTATTATTTACTTTAAATAGTTTTAAAATTTATTATTTATTTAATTTAATTTCATAAATCTACTATTTACTATATTCTCTTTATTTTGGTAGAAGATCTTTACATCACGGTTCCTTCTAATACGGGTGAATTAAAGGAATACCACTTCTAGAAGATTGGTATTTGAACATTTACCGCTCTTGAAATAATTTGAATCCAATGGTATTTGAACGTATAGCACGGTATATATGTTGCTATAGTGCAGTAACTTCTGTTCTATTGACATATTACTAATGCTTCCATTACTTATCTCTATATGAAGAGCAAATGTTTTTCAACCACATAAAACTAGTGCCAAAAAGGAAGGGTCTTTTTCAGTTTTTACCTCAAAAACTATAAAAGCAGTGATGCACGTACCCACTTGGCACTGTGGACCCGTATAAGGGGTGCGTCTTGCAATTCCTAATTTGGCTCTATTTTAACACTATTTAATTTTTTGGCAAAAAGCTAAAGGAAGAATCAACTCTGTCCAATCTGGTTTGCGGTTTTTTGTCTTCTCTAAACGCTTCAAGTAAGAGAAAATATAGAGCCCGTTTGGTTAGAGGATTCATTCTCTGATTTGAATCATGATTCATAATTCGTTACAGTATTTTCTCTCACAAAAAATACACATAAATTAAAAATGGTTCTAATCCATAAACCAAACAGGCTCATTTTATTATTTATTTTACTGAGAAATATATTGATAAAATATGAAAAATATCCTATCAAAAAAAAGTATTCTACTAGAATATGAAATATTTCTTACCAACATATTAACGGCATAAATGATAAATGAGATAAAATTATTTTGATATCCTCTATTATAACAAAATATCTCATTAATAACTTGTGCTTTCAATAATATAAAAATGGTACATTCATTAAAAAAAAAAAAACGTTCTTTAAGTATGATGAGATTGATTTTTAGGACATATAATGTCTAAACTACCAATTTTCACTAATTAAATAGAAAATAATAACTTTAAAGTTTTTTCTAAAAATATTCTAACTTATTTTTAATTTGTAAATGTTTAAATTATGTTCTTAATTTTTTTAAATTATCAATTTGTTCTTCATAAATCAGAGTGGTAAAATGGACATTTTTGTGTCTAAAAATCAACTTTATGATACTAAAAAAAACATTTCTTCAAAGGTGAAGGTATTGTTTTAATATTATTAAAAATATAGGATACCGATAAGTTATTTTGTTGTAATAGAGGATATCAAAATGATTTCATCTCATGACAAATATAAGATTGATAGTATAAATAAAATATGTTATATTATTTTAATGGCATTTTTAAAAATTTCCCTTAAACTAATGATTTGTTATTTCAAAACAAAAGACTGTATATTAATTATACAATCTATATGCATTTTAGTTTTTAATCCCATTTGTTTTTCCGTAAGCATCACTTCTTTTAATAATAAACATGGTCTCTGTTGAAAAATGGCTTGTTAAGCCATATTAAAAGCTCCTTTTGAGATCTATATTAGAATGGGACCTAATAGGTTTTAGGACAAGTCTCGATAGATTTACGTTCTCCGTCGTAAGGAGATCGAAATCGAATATTCATACACTCAAAATGGATATTGGGTGAATGAGAAATTGATGCTCTAAGTATGTCACTCAGAATAGTTAAGGTAGTTGGAAATTGTAAAAATCCCACATTGGCTAGGAATGAAGCCTTTGTGGTGTTTATAAGTGATTGCACTTTGAAACTTAGGTAAGCATGTATACCAGAAAGGCTCTCTAACACACAAGGAAGGGTGCGAATTACGGTCTCGGCGGGTTAGGGGCCCAATGTGTGCGCCCGCGACCTATAGACATGAGTGCCGGACTAAAAAACTCACTTCATACGGGCTTTGTTTTGCAATTTTTATTTTTTGATTCGGTCCAAGCCCTTTCACATTCAGCCAAAACCGATTGGCTTGCACAATGGTGATTAAAGAGGCTTAACGGCTAGTTTAATGGCCGAGCTTAATTGTGAGATAATGGCCAGCTTAATGGCTTCAGTTTTTCTTCTTAAAATCCAAACCTAGCTATGGTTTGTGGCCGGGTTCATCTCAGAGTAAGGAGCACGGTTTTGCACCATAAAGATTGGACCATAATGTGTGATTAAGTCCCACAATTCCTTGTCTCGAAACCCCTTTTCTCAAGAGCATGTATAAGGCTCGTAACACATGAAGGAAGACTCACTCGTTCACTCTTCTTCTCCTCTCTCTTAGTTCCTCTCCTGTTTTTGGAGTTCTTTGTGCGTTTTCCATTTTTGTAGTTCGATTTTGGTGATAGAGAGAAGATCTGAGTTCTAGTTCGCCGGACGGTTCCGATAGTGCTTCGAGCTACCGTCGTTGTCGTTGTATCCTGAGAAACGGATGTCTAACGTTACCTCAAGCACTCACCGGAGAGGACGAATCTATTTTAAGAAAAGCGAAATTGACGTGCATCGACATCCTTACCAATACGTTTTTCCAAGTTTGATTAAAAGATTGAATTTATATATTTTGTTCTTGTAAAAAGTTATTATATATATTATTCTTCTTTGTATTATCTATATTATTGCTAACAGTCTCATCATCATGTGTCTCAAGAAAAATGCCATATATAGCCGAAAAATATACTATTTTTGCAATAATTGGCCCATAAGTACAGGAATGAATAACAAAACACATGTTAATTTACATAATTACAATTTTTATTTTTTGATTCGGTCCAAGCCCTTTCACATTCAGCCAAAACCGATTGGCTTGCACAATGGTGATTAAAGAGGCTTAACGGCTAGTTTAATGGCCGAGCTTAATTGTGAGATAATGGCCAGCTTAATGGCTTCAGTTTTTCTTCTTAAAATCCAAACCTAGCTATGGTTTGTGGCCGGGTTCATCTCAGAGTAAGGAGCACAGTTTTGCACCATAAAGATTGGACCATAATGTGTGATTAAGTCCCACAATTCCTTGTCTCGAAACTCCTTTCTCAAGAGCCTGTATAAGGCTCGTAACACATGAAGGAAAACTCACTCGTTCACTCTTCTTCTCCTCTCTCTTAGTTCCTCTCTTGTTTTTGGAGTTCTTTGTGCGTTTTCCATTTTTGTAGTTCGATTTTGGTGATAGAGAGAAGATCCGAGTTCTAGTTCGCCGGACGGTTCCGATAGTGCTTCGAGCTACCGTCGTTGTCGTTGTATCCTGAGAAACGAATGTCTAACGTTACCTCAAGCACTCGCCGGAGAGGACGAATCTATTTTAAGAAAAGCGTAATTCACGTGCATCGACATCCTTACCAATACGTTTTTCCAAGTTTGATTAAAAGATTGAATTTATATATTTTGTTCTTGTAAAAAGTTATTACATATATTATTCTTCTTTGTATTATCTATATTATTGCTAACCGTCTCATCATGTGTCTCAAGAAAAATGCCATATATAGCCGAAAAATATACTATTTCTGCAATAATTGGCCCATAAGTACAGGAATGAATAACAAAACACATGTTAATTTACATAATCGTTGAACTAAAAGTTACAAGAATTATGAAAGGCTAAAAGAGTGACTTACGTATACATATTTTCTTCAATTTCTATATATAATCTCAAAACTTGACATGTGTTTTATTGACAACATTAATCTATATAATTAGTTAAAAGTTCACGCGTTGCTGCAAAAAATACTGTTGTATTATATAAAAAGTTACAAATTTTTATAGTATATAAATTTTTATAATATAAAAAATTTGGCACAAAACGGTGGTAAAACGGACAAAATTGAACTTCAAATCAATTCAAAATAGTAAATAACTATAATAAAGAATACAAATTTTAAAAATAAACCGGAAATGGTTTGAAATTGTCCGATTAAAAATTTCGACGGCTGTGATTCGCACATGAAAAGCACATGTAAGAGAAGTGCGTTCAGCGGGAGGAAGAGGGCAGCTTCGCAGTGGTGGGCCCCGTCACTTTTTTCTTCGGCCAGCCAGACGTCGACACGTGGCAATCTTAGAATGAAGGTAGCAAAAGCCCATGCACATGGAAGGGAAAAGAGAAGGAAAAAAAGGGTAAAATTGACAATTCACACTCAAATGACAAGGGACAGAAGCGGAATTTTGGAAATGTCACTGCACAATGAATAGTAAATTGTGAGTGTGTGAACAGTGTACATTTCCTTTCCTTTCGTATACGGATTTTTATTTAATTTTATTATATTATTCATGGTATTTTTATTTAAGTAATATAAAAAAATTAGCACAAAACGCTGGTAAAATGGATAAAATTGAAGTTCAAATCAATTGAAAATAGTAAATAACTATAATAAATAATAAAAATTTAAAAAATAAATCGGAAATGATTTGAAATCGTCCGATCAAAAATTTTGTCGGCTGTGATTCGCGCGTAAAAAACACACGCAAAAGAAGCTCATTCAGTGGTGGCCCCGCCACTTTTTCTTTCGGTCAGCCAGGCGTTGGCACATGGCAATCTTAGATCAAAAGATGCAAAAGTCCATACACAGTGCAGAAAAAAGGGTAAAATTAACAATTTATGCTCAAATGACAAAGGACATAAACATAATTTTAAGAACAGTATAATGTGAGTGTGTGAATAGTGAATCTTGGGTCTCTTTTAGTATATATAATAATATGCCGTTTTTATTTCTTTTGTTTTTTTCTCTCAATATTTTTTTTTCCTTGGGTTAAGTTATTATAGAATGGCATGGGGTTATTGGTGGCAACCGACGTTGACCACGGCAAAGGACACAGCAAGGCAGGTCCATCTCAAAGGCAGCTAAGCGAAACTAAGCGGGTTTCAAAGAAAACGCGTTAAAAGTTCCAGTCTGGTATGGACCATCAATAATATGTCTCATAACCCTCCTCATATTCTTATATAGAAAACAACATACAACTCTCTCAGAAAAGTCCAACAAACCTATATCTATATGTATATATATACACACGACATTTTCATTCCTTCCAAAACAAAATATAAAGGAAAATAAAAAATAAAAAGACATCCTAAAGTAGCTTGGACAAAATTTTCCCACAAAAGATGTATACCTTACTTAATTTGTTTCTCGGGTCGTACGTCGGCAAACTGTAAAGAAAAAAACAAACCAAAATAAAACAAAATGAAAAAACTGAACTCAGAAATTTTCAAGATGTCACTTCCCTATTGATCAAGCTCTTTGATTTTTTTTAGGCCTCACATAACTCTGAACCTTTTGAAAAAAAAAAAAAGAAAAAAAAAAACATAATCAATATATCTTGATCTCATGGATGATATCATTTGCTTCAAATAGTCCAGTTAATTATAATTTGTTGGTTTCCCACACTGTGGCACATTTTTCATGTATTTAATTTATTGTGATCAAAATTGAACATATTTTTGTTCTATCAACAAAATCTTACGTAGCAAAGTATATCCAAGTGAACTGATAATTAACGAAAGAAATTTTGTTATTTGCATCGACATAATTATTTATATTATAGACCCGTAACTGTCTAGCTAGCAAGTATTTCCTAATTTGGTCTGTGGAAGTTACGTGTAAATTACTTCGAGAAAACATTAATACCAATTATAATACACATCATTTTTTGCTAAGCAATTATAGATACATACATATATATATATATAAAGGCTTAAAAATTCTTCGGATGTACGGATTTGGATATAATTTTCTTCGCTAACATGTTAATTATTGTTTCTTTTGTAGTTTGAATTCGTCAAAGAAGGAATCTAGAACAAAATAATAATAATAATAATAAAAGGTCAACAACATTATGTGAGTTATGAGATTTTTATGCAATACGTTATTATTTTCATTGATTGTATAAGCTTACTTTGACCATATACACAGAGTTTTGGTCGACTCAGTGAGTAATGTCAACAGCAGTTTTCTGTGTTACCAATTATTTCGAATATTAATGTAGGAACACCAACAAGTCATATATAGCTGCGTTGCAGATAAGAGGAAATTAATGTTTAGTAATGTTTAGTTTCAACGTGAGGTGAATTTTCTTTTGATTGGGTTGTATGACTAAAACTGAGTTTTGGATGACATTTTTACGAATATGAAATTTTGCTAAATTAATTAGTCATTCGGGTGTGTGCGTATGCATATATGGAAAAATATATATATATATATATATTGTCAATTATAAACTTTAAAATAATAAAAAATGGTTAATGCATCTCTATTGGTAAAGTTTTTACTAAATGAAAGAGAGAACTGATCATACATTTATATGTTGGCTGGATGAAAATAAATAGATAATTATGTGAATTATTCTAAGATTTTGAACTCTTTATGTCAGTCCGTTTTAAAGAGATCGCTGCTCTTATATTCTGTTTATAACTATCTACAATCAATAAGCAAGTTTTATGTCTTGGAACTGTAAGTAAAGAAAAACAAAATCATGTAGGTGTGATTTATGTTTAATTATTCAAAGAATTTATGTTTTGAAAAGGATTATGAATTAAATATATAAAATTAGTTGAGACGTTAATATTGTGTAAATAACTTATGATCATCTTTTCTATTATAATTAGCCTCAGAAATATTTGAAAATTTCCTTTTATATATTTATCTGTTACATGCATTTATTTATGTGGTTTTGATAGCGAGCTATATATAGTGAGATTCGGATGTTTGAAAGATAATAAGTAATACTCGAACTATTTATTCGACAATGACCAAAATCAAGAAAGAACTCATTTCATGAGAAATGAGAATCTACAATATTGTAGATTTTCTCAAACAGTACTTTTTCATTAGTACTCTGTATTCTGCCAATTATTCATTGAACGATAACTTTTTGAGGGCACACAATAAATGAAACAATCAATCTTAAACGATGTATAGTTGAAAGAAGAGAATTATTCGCCATGCGATCTAGAAACTTCGGCAAATATGTATGCCTTATTCGAACTTATTCCGTTCGGTATCGATGATGATACATCGAGCTCGATCGAAAAGCATTAGTCATGCCTTACAGTTGTGCGCTTCACAATACACGTGAAATAAACATATAACTAATAATATACATACATATACATAGCAAATTAAATCACGTTCAGAGACATTTAGAAAAACAATATAATATAAATACATAATATTTGAAAAGAAAGAAATAAATTATTCTTGAATATTCCCTTATCAACTTGTTGTTAGAGTTATCTTGCGAGATTTATTGATAAATTAGCATAAATCAGCTAAGAGATCCACTCTAATATTAAAAAAATTCAAGATCATCATCTATAGGCTATACCCACTGCATCAACCAAAACCCGTGGTTGAATTGGATAGAATAATTGTATTATAATAAAGAGAGTACTACGTGCTTTAAGGTAGGCCAAAAGTGAAAGAAACAACGAATACGTAACGAAAGTACTAATAAAAACAAACTCTTTCTTATAATTGGACAAAGTCTAACCCAATGAGGAACCACATACCCTCCTTCCTTCCATTAGTCTCTCTCTCTCTCTACTTTCTCTTTCCAACTCACTCATGTGCAGCATAGTTTGTCAACATAGAGAGATTTTTGGGGAAAGCAACAACACCCACAAAAGCAGAAAAGCTACAAAAGCCTTCCCAATTGCACGCAAGATTATACCATATAACTATTGCAATGCACCAACATAGAAGAGCTCTAAAAACGACACCAACAGAAACAAATTGACAGTTATCCTTTCTGAACAATCTTTATAAAAATTAAAAAGAAAAAATAAACACTGTTGAAGTTAATATTTTCAGTTTTTTCCCTTTTTTTTTTTCTTGTTTTGTTTTGTTTCCTTTTGTCACATAATATACAATTCACCTTTAGCCAACTTGCAACTACACCATGCCCTTTCCCCCCAACTCCTATCTCCTATTTTCCCCCATTCACAAAACGCCGAAAATTACAAAAATAGACCCAAAAACAAAACAAAAAAAACAAAAAAACAAAAGTTGTTTGAGTTTCAATATTACAAGGCTCCTATTATCCTCGGCTTCTTACTACACTCTAATTCCAACAATTCCATGTCCCTTGTTCTCTTCCCATTGCAACCCCCACCAATCCCAATCCCAATCCCTTCCACCATCTCACTCCCAGGTAATTTAAAAATGTTGACCCCAAAAAGCCTAACCATCTGAACCGGTCCGACCGCCCCGCCCGCTGACCCGCTATCAACATCCCTAGCCTTCCAATCAATGTAAAGCTGCTTATCCGGTCCGGTTGAGCGCTGGAAGCTGACAATGTCACCGGCTTTCAAGCTCTTCTCCTTAACGAACCGGCTCCAACCCTTTGTCAACACATAGCTCTGGCTACTATTCCAGTACGAGTATCGAAATCGCCAGACCTTCCCTCCGACATCCTCGAAATTCAACAAAACGCCCTTGCAGGTGTTGGCGCTCTGCAAGGGGAAGTGCTTCTCCGCGTGCTGCTTCGGGATCACCAGCCGGTTCAGCTTCCCGACGTCGCTCGGCGTAACCGCCTTCTCGAAGAGCTGCTCACGCGCCATCGAAGCGGTTAAATCCGAACCGAATAGCAGCCCGGTCCGGGACGGTTTTCGATTCCCATTCCCGTCGATTCCGAAGCTGTTTCTCTTGCTTTGCTCCAACTCGTCGTTGTAAGTGTGTTTCCTGAGCATGTCGACGATCTCGGCCTTGGAATGGGAGTTGAGAAAGACGGATTCGATTTCATCTTCTTCGGTGGTTTCCGAGAGAGGCTTGAAGTTGGTGACGGCGTCGCGGCCGCGGAAGCGCTGGGCGGCTACGTCGTAGGCCCTGGCGGCCTCGTCCTCCTCGTTGAAGGTGCCGAGCCACACGCGCTGGTGCTTCTCGTAAATCTGGGCCCCCCACCGCCCGTTCGGCTGTGGGACCACGCCCTTGTACTTGGAGGAAGGGAGTTTACGGCCGGATTCGGCGTCTGCGCCGCCGTTGATGGCGTTGGTGATCATCTCCGAGTCGACGACGACGCTGCTCGCGCCGCTCCCGACGCGGCAGAGAGTGCTCTCCGCCGCTGGAGGGGACTTGAACGGCGTCGGAGTGGCGGCGGGAGAGGCGGATAGAGTGAAGGATTCGGTGGTTGTGCTCTCGTCTGTGGATGAGTTTCCGTCCATGTTTAGAGAGAGAAAGATAACGAGTTGTGCCTCTGAGTTTTGACTAAAAAGAAGTAATGGAAATATGGAAAGAAGAAGAAGAAGAAGAAGAGGTTTTTGTTGTTGTCGTTGTTGGTGGTGGTATTGTGGTTTAGCTTTAGGTATTGTGAATTTGGGATAGTTTGAAGGGCGAATATATATAGGAGGTCAAGAGTCTCTAAAAATGTATGTACGTTATGTATGTACGTATTGGTTATTTAAAGAAAAAGAAATAAATAAAATTAAGGTGTTGGAGATATGGGGATGTGGGTGTGGTGGGTCAACCCAGGAGGAGAGGAATGGTAAGGAACTAGGAAGATTCATGACTCATGAGGAGAGAGAAAGAGAGAGAAAATAGGCCCTAAGAGTAGGAAAATAGGGGGAAGTTTTTTATAAAAAAAAAAAAAAAAAAAAAAAAAAAAAAAAAAAAAAAGAGAAGAGTGGGAGTATCAGGGTCATAGTATGTGTGGGTTGTGGGCTGTGTATGTGGAGTGGGACCCACATAGGCAAGTTGATGGGGTTCACATGATTGTGGACCGTGTTTTAGTTAAGTTCATCCCCCCTGAAACTTTGCTGCTGCTGCTGACCCTAGGCATGGTCATTGGCCCCAGCTCTCTCTCTTCCTAGGCTTTCTATATCTACACATATTTTTTTTTACTTATTTATATATTCTCTTTTTTCAATTTCCTTAAATATAAATCTTATCTGATCCTGCCTGTTTCATCAAAATCTGCTCTATTATTTGCTGTTGCTTTTATTACACCAATTAGAATCTAGATAAACATTAGCACTTGGGAAGAGAGAGAGAGAGAGAGAGAGAGCCAAAGAGGAGAGAGGAGAGAAAAAGGTTTACTATACTACTGCTACTACTTCCCACTGGGATGGATTGTGGGGCTAAAGTGTAATAAGGAGGAGAGGGAGAGGGATGGATATATTGGATAGGCATTGAATTGAAGACAAAGGCTCATCCAACAAGAAATTCCCCCCTTTCCCTTTTGAATCTTACCTGGCATGATCTGATTCGCCTTTCCCAACTCTGGTTTGTCTTATTGGCTAGGTTCAATTCAACCTTAGTATCTCTGAAAAATTAAAAAATTTTGTCCACAAAAAAGAAAAACAAAACTAAACATGCATGCAAGAGAAAGAAAAAATGGCTAAGAAAATAAAAAAAAAAATATAGAACAAAGAAAAACCATCCAACCTCCATAATTTCCAACCAACATTGACATTTCTCCCTCCAAGTGGGGTTTCCCCCATTGTTTCTCTTTACCCATTCATTGTTCAAAACTAACATAGCCCTTTACACTGCAAGTGCAATGTTCAGATCTGAATCATTTTTCTTATTTCCTCCAAAAACAATAAACACAAACAAAATCCAAAGGGGATAAGTACACTCTCTTGTTTAAATATACACCATCCAATTTAGGGATAAAAACCAGAAAATAATTGATCGTACGGCGTACGGGTGTGTGTGTGGAACTTTAGTTTAACTAATTTGCCCAAATTTTAAATGGGTCCGAGCTAAAGATTACAAAATTATTTTGTGGGCATGAGAAACTTGTCTTCTAGCCGTAAAATTAATAAGAGAAAATAAATATATGCATAAACGTATTATTGTGTAAGTGTATTATTTAAGGATGATCCCGTACGGAGGAGTACTCGGTCTATGATGGGCCCCACAAGATGCAAGTTGATCAGCAAAACCAAGAGCCGAAGACGGTGGGTTTAGCCTCTTTTTTTTTCTTTTTTTTTTTTTTTTTTTTAATTTGGGGACTATGGTTTACTGGTTTTTATTCTTAACGTCGTCTGGGTCCCGTTTTCAAATTGATTCTCTCGTTTAATACAAGGGGATTTATCCTTTATTTTATTATTTATTGTTATAAACTGTTTTAGTTAACAGCCGTTTTGTTTTGAGGAATTTTTTAAAAAAAGAAAAACAAAACAAAAAAGAAATTTTATTTATTCACTTCCCTTTAAACTATGTTATTTATGTTAACATGCTCTCCCCATGCATAATATGTCTTCAACTTCATCTCCATGAACTTTAAAACCTTATTTTTTAGGCATACTAGCATATGCAATACATATAAGGAGGTCAAATTTGTCAATTGTTTTAAACTCTTAACTATCCCAATTGAATTCGAATCCGTTCTCTACTTTTTTCTCTTACATTTTTTTATTTTTAAGTAACTACTTTAAGGAGAAAATAAATATAAAATTTAGCGTCTAACTAATTTATTTGGAGTAAAATGCATTTATTATCCATAAAATATTGCACCTAAACTTAAAATGAGTAACAATTATGCAGCTTCGTTCAAAAACTAACACATTTTAAAATTGAGGGTAAATCTAAGAAAAAGTAGAGGTGAAAAGTGGGAGAAGAAAAAAATAGAGGGATTTTTGAAGAGAAAATAGAATTATTGGTTGTTTGGTAGGAGGAAAAGTTAGATGAAAAAAAGAACACATGAGTCCCACACTTTTTTATCCTTTAAACATAGAGAGATTTTTAGATGGAAAATTTGCCTTGTCATGCATAAATATTTATATTATCTTTTTATCTTCATTTTAATACTAAAATAATGTTAAAGAAATTAGTAAGATGCTAATTTAATTGAACACTCATTTTCTTTTCTCTTATCATACTAAACAAGACCCAAAAAAAAGGAAAAACTAAGGGTCCGTTTAGTTCGCGGATTCAAATTTTTAATTCATTACAACAAAAAAGCTTATTTGCGACGACGGACTGTCGTCGCAAATATTGTATTTTCAACGACAAGTCGTCGCAAAAAACCTGACGCAAATAATATATTTACGATGACAAAGTTTTAAAATGTCGTTGCTAATATTAGCAACGACAATCGTCACGAATAAGTCGTCACAAATGCTTCGTCGAATATGTCGTTGATGAAGATGTGTCCTAACTTATTTATGACGACTACGTGTTGTCGCAAAAGCATTTAAAACCTTTTGCTACCATAGACTTCAAAGTGTCGTCGCTAGTAATGTACACTATTTGCGACGACAATTTAGATATGTTGTCGCAAATATTTTTTTTTCTTTTTTTGCCGTACTTTACTAATAATATTAATTATTAAATATATAAATTAGAAGAAAATTTAATAATAAAATAAAACAATAAAATTGATATTTATTAATAAAAGATTGATGTAAAATAGTCAATACAATAATAAGATCAGTCTTAAAAAGTAAATTAATCAAGAAATAATAAAAAGTGTTGATAATAAAAAAAACAAAAGCAGATATTTTAATCCTCTAAAATTGCATCATCTTCGTCTTCGTCCTCGTCTTCTTCATTTAGCTTAGGCGGCGGAGGAACCAACGGTTCGGGATGGTTAAGTGGCAAGAAGTTGATGTTGGGATTCATCTAGTGCATGGCTTCCATCATGATATGTTGGTTGTCGAACATGTTGCATTGCTCGATGTAGATGTTGTTCAGCCAGTTTTGGACATACTGGGGCAAATTAATGAAAGACGACCCGTTCGATTGCGAACCAGATGATGAGGTGGAAGCACTTGAACGATTCCTCCGTGGTAGTATCGGTCCCACTCCCTTAGTGTGTCCTCTGAGCTTGCCCAAGACTTGGGACATAATCTTCTCCTTATCAACCACCGTGGCAGATGAACCTTCGCTAGCAGACTGTGTCATCTGCGTGGTTCTTTCCCCCTTCAATTGAACCTACAAAGGTAAATGAAATAAAAATTAATAAAAATAGTATAATATGTTATGTTAAATATGAAAAAAGAAATAAATTTAAAATTACTTACAAATGCTTGTTCAGCATCCATATTGACAAAACTCTGCCCATGACGGTGCATGTCACCCAAATTATCAATTAATGATCTTGGCTGCTGGGTCTCGGGATTTACCTAATCAAGTTGAACGTGTTAGAATAATTATTAAGCCAAAGTGACCAAAACTTAACAAGTATGCAAATTAGTATTACCTTATTGAAATGATGCTAGGAGTATGACTTTCTACCATGCAAGCTAGACCACTTCTGACTGCCATGGTTCTATTGATTTGTAGTAGATTTTTTCTAATAATGATTATAGATGAATTAGTAACATACTTAATAATTAAATAAATTAATCAAAAATAAGAAGACATAATGAAATGGAACCTAAAAAGCAGGGGACATAAAATGATCACAACAAGGTCCCCATTGCTATTTTCTCCTCAAGTTTTTAGGAGGATTTTGCCTAACAAAATCCTCCTTTTCTGCCCCTCTCATCTTCTGAAAGTGTCTATGCAAGGTAGTCTTCCAGTCCTTGTAACATTTACTGACTTCACGATCGACTGCATCTCTAATGACGCCATTGTCACGGTTGTAGTCGATGTTAAACCAATCATGCAACACATTAAAAAGTCAACAAATAAATTTTATATATTGTATTTAAATAAATTTTTAGAACAAATTTTGTTTCAAATAAATACCAGTATGTAATTTTGAATCCTTCTTTTGTGCTCCTCAGGTACGTCCTTCCAGACATTGTAATGTGGGTCACAGATATCCCTTGTGTGCAAGCCGAAAGCACTGTCAAAATATGAGGCGTTTTCGCCAATCGCCTTCCACGTACCGACCTTGTCAAACAAGACTAAAAGCTTTCCATCTCATTGTACTTTCTCCATTATATCTTGACCTAGAGCTACCCCTCGACCAGATCGACGTTGAGGTGTCATCTCTGGAACTATAAAAAAAAAAATAACGAAATTTGATTATATAGAGTTCGAGGAATAAAAAATAACATTCATGTGTAATAGCATATAATACCTAACTGACAATATGTTCAGAGTCTCATCGGATAGGGTGGAGACTGTGATCCTCCTGCAGAGTCGGAGCATGTAGCTATTGGGCCGGACATCGTGACTCTATGTCGTATAAAAAAATAGAACTTTATTAGCTACTTTATTTCTTACGCAATTTCTTAACAAATATATAAAAGAATTCATAAATATAAATTAACTATTTTATTTCTATTTGTCGTCACTATTAATGTCTTCAACATCATCAGCACTTTCTACAACGTCATCATCTTTAGACTCGACGAGCTCATCTTCAATATAGTCAAATACAGTTTAATCATCACCGTTGTCAATAAAGTCATCTTCAATGGGCGACTTGTCGTGCA